GCCCACCTGAACCTCCCCTGGCCCAGCTGGAGGCCCAGCCCTCTTGTCCTGCTGCTGGTTCCTGGGAGCAGAGCCCGATCCCAGCCGGCTCCCCCCTCCTGGCAGGGAGTTGTGCAGAGGGATGAGGTCTCCCCTGAGCCTCCTCCTCCTCTCCAGGCTGAGCCCCCCCAGCTCCCTCAGCCTCTCCTCGTGGCAATTGTGCTCCAGTCCCTTCTCCAGCCTCGCTGCTCTTCCCTGCCCCTGCTCCAGCCCCTCTGTGTCCTTCCCGAGCTGAGGGCCCAGAGCCGGGCACGGCACTCCAGGGGTGGAGAATCCCTGCCCTGCTCCTGCTGCCACGCTCTGCCCGAGCCAGCCCGGGATCCATCGGCCCTCTCGGCCCCCCTGGGCACCCTCTGGCTCCTGTTCAGCTTCCTGGCCATCCCAACTCCCAGCTCCCTTCCCGCCTGGCTGCTCCCCAGCCCCCCGAGAGAACCAGAACATCGCAGTTCTACACCCGGGGGTGGGTTTAAAACCCAGTTTTTACTCTGCAGTAACTACAATTTTTTGGAGCAATCTTCAACTCCCGCCGGTGATCTCTTGTTTTTTTCCCCCCTCCCCTCCGAGCCGCCGCTCCCACCCACCCACCCACCCACCTTCCTCTTGCGTGGGGCGGGTTCCTCGGGCACGGGGGAGGGCTCGGGGTCGGTCTCGAAGCCGTCGTCGCCCCGGGGGGAGCTCAGAGCCCCTCCCGAGTGTTTGGGGTGAGGTGGCGACGAGGGGGTGGAGATGTCGCTGGCCCCGCTCCAGTGGCCGCTGCTGCTGCTGGCGGTGCTGCTGCCGCCGTCCGACACGTCCCCGCTCTCCTTCCAGGGGTCCCGCGGCGCTGCAGGAAAAGGGGGGACACACACACTTTTATCCTCTTAAAAATAATAAAATTAAAAAAAAAAAAAAGGCGAAGCCTTTTGCGCCTCTCTGCTGGCGGTTGTTGTTGGTGGGATGGTTTATCCCTGTTTTATCCCCCACCCCATCCAGGATTTCCCACGGCTTTCCCCCCCCAGCTCCTCCCGTGGGGGGGTGTTTATTTTTATCCCAGTCTGATTCCTCGGGAATGAAAAAGGGAGATCTAAAAAAAGGAGTGACCGGGTGGTGCCCCTCCCATCCCCCCCCCCACCCCTGATTCCAGAGGGGGAGCTCCCCATCCCATGGGATGGCTGCGGGATTTGGGATCATCCCCCAAGGAGCTGCCAGGACCGTCCTGGTCCCGGCTGGAGCCGCCGCCTCCCAGGAAATCTAGGGGATTTGGGAATTGGGGAGTCCTGGGGATCATTTTGGGCACAAGCCTGGGTGGATTTGGGCTGATTTTGGGTCGATTTGGGGTGGATTTGGGGTTGATTTTGGGTGAATTTGGGTGGTTTTTCCCACCATCCGCTGCTGTGCCAGCTGCGATTTTGGTGGAATTTCATGGGAATTAGATGGAATTTGGGGGATTTGGGAACTGGGGAGTCGTGGGGGTCATTTTGGGCGCAATCCTGGGTGGATTTGGGCTGATTTTGGGTGGATTTGGAGTCGCTTTTGGGTGGATTTGGGGTCGATTTTGGGTGAATTTGGGTGGTTTCTCCCACCATCCGCTGCTGTTCCAGCTGCGATTTTGGTGGAACTTCATGGGAATTGGATGAAATTTGGGGGAATTTTGAAATCCTGGGCTTGACGTGGGGAATCCTGGGAGTGACTTTGAGGTGATTTGGGGTGGATTTGGGTTGATTTTGGGTGGATTTGGGTTGTTTTTCCCACCATCTGCTGCCATTCCAGATGTGATTTTGGTGGAATTTCATGGGAATTGGATGGAATTTGGGGGATTTGGGAATTGGGGAGTCCTGGGGGTCCTTTTGGGCGCAATCCTGGGCAGATTTGGGCTGATTTTGGGTGGATTTGGGGTCGATTTTGGGTGGATTTGGGTGGTTTTTCCCACCATCCGCTGCCGTTCCAGCTGCGATTTTGGTGGAATTTCACAGGAATTGGATGAAATGTGGGGGAAATTTTGGGGAATCCTGGGCTTGAATTGGGGAATCCTGGGGGTGACTTTGAGGGTGATTTGGGCTGGATTTGGGTCGATTTTGGGTGGATTTGGGTCGATTTGGGTGGATTTGCAGCCTTTTCCCCCCCCGCCATTTCCGCTGCCACCCGGGCCGAAATTCCCCAGAATTCCTGGAAATTCCCACGGAATCCTCCCCAAAATCCAGGGTTGCCAAGCTGCTGCTGCCCTTCCCGGCCCTCAGATTAATCGACCTCAAGCGTCTGGAGCATCTTTTCTTCTTCTTTCTGCTGTGGAGGGGCTGCAGGGAAGGGAACGGAGCTGGGAAGGGGCTGGAGCAGCAGGAATATCGGAGGGAGCTGCTGGGGGGGCTCATCCCAGAAAAAAGAGGGATCAGGAGGGACCTTTTCCAGCCCCAAAACTCCCTGCCAGGAGGGGGGAGCTGGGGGGGTGTCCCCAATTCCCAGGGAATAAGAAATAGGAGGAGAGGGAATGCCCTCCAGCTGTGCCAGGGGAGGGGCAGGTGGGATATTGGGAACAATTCCCACATGGAAAGGGCTGTCAGGAACTGGAATGAACTTCCCAAGGCAGGGCTGGATTCCCAATCCCTGCAGGGATTCCCAATCCCTGGGAATGTGGCCCTTGGGGACAGGGGGCAGGGCTGGGGATGGTTGGACTCTGTGATTCCAGAGGGATTTTCCAACTTTAATCATCCCAAAGGATTCCCAATCCTGGCATTGTCCCATCTCCTACAACTAGAAGTTTAATAAGGTGGGGCTTCCCAAATTCCCAGGGAACAAGGGCCAGGAGGAGAGGGAACAGCCTCCAGGGCATGTTTAGTCGGATATTGGGAACAATTCCCGCCTGGAAAGGGCTGTCAGGAACTGGAATGAACTTCCCAGGGCAGGGCTGGATCCCTCATCCCTGCAGGGATTCCCAATCCCCGTGGATGTGGGAACAGGGGTGGCCTGGGCAGCGCTGGGCGAGCAGTTGGGCAGCAATTCCCAGACCCGTTTCCTCCTGGAATTCCAGGGTTTTGCTCCCGATCCATCCCGCGGGGATCACTCACCGCTCTCTCCGGAGGGAGGGCTCTGCACCACGGGGGAACAGGACAGGCTGGTCAGCACCATGGCCGCCACCATCTCATCCATCTCCACGGCATCGTCGGCTTTCCTGCGCCCACAGGGTCGGGAAAACGCGTGGAGAGGGTTGGGATGAAAAAAAAAATGCGGAGCCACCACCCGGATACGACCCCCGAGAAACCCCCAACCCCGCAGCTTCCCCCACGTCCAGCGACCCAGCTGGGAAGTGGGAGGGGGGGAAAGAAAAAAAAAAAAAGAATAAATTAAAAAAAAATCCCCTTAATCCTTAAACGGAAGCACCCTCTGGATAATCCCACGCCGGCAGAAAACGCGAGTCCCTCTCCCGCCCCGAGCGATCCCGCTGGGAAAAGGCACCACCAACCTGTTGGGAACGTCGATGCTGCTGGATACGGATCTGGGCAGGGTGTCAGCAGGAGGCTGGAGCGTGTCCTGCACCCTCCAGCAGCCCTGCTCCGGCAGCAGCACCTTCCCCTGCTCGCATTCCTGCCCGCTGGAAGCGAGGAGCACCTGGAAAAGGAACAGGGTGGTGTCACCCACCATACACGTCCTCGAGCCTGGGGGTCCCTCCTCCCGCTCTTCCCGCGGGAAAGGGGTTTAGGATGAAGGCTGATCCCGTCCTGAGGGGGGTTTGGATTTGTCTGATGGCCCGGCAAACCAGGGCTCATCCCAACCCTGCTCATCCCAATCCTGCTCTGCCCCCTCAGCAATCCCAGGCTGAGGGAATTCCCCAGCTGGGATCAGCCGCCCTCCAAGTGTTGTGGCTCCGGGGGGACTTTCCCCCAGTGAATCCGTCTGCTCTGGGTTCCTTCCCACAATTCCCAAAAGGATTAAAACCTGATGAGGGGGAGGAAGGTGGGGGGGGGGGAGCAAAGATTTCCCGGGTGAAGCGATCCCGAATTCCCACCTTGGCTGTCCCACTCCCAGCTCCCTCAGGCCAGGAAAGGAGATGTGCCAACCTCACCTCCTCCTCCTCCTCCTTCCCAGAGTCCCAAACTCCTCCTGGCTTTTCCACCACCACCACCACCACCAGCAGCCCGACCCTAATTCTGTAATAAGGGAACTGTATCTGTGTCGATGGACGCTCCGAGCGCCCCTGGCTATTTACGGGAACATCTCCTCATGGAATGTTCCCACCAAGGATGGATGGACACACACACACACACACACACACACACCCTCAGGGGGGGAATTCCAGCAGAAACCAGGGGTGGAAAAAGCCCCCAGGGCGAAGGGAATCAGCCCAAGGATCAAGACACGGAAAGATCCCGACCCTTCCCACCAAAAATGAGGATGGAGGGGGCGTGTGGATCCAGGTTTTTCCACCAACACCACCCACAGCACCTCAGGGGTTGGGTGTCCCCGGCAGGTGAAGACACCCCAGTGCTGTTTTAATGCCGTTCCCGGAGGGGCAAAGGGAGATCCTGGAAAAATCCTCCGGAGCGGAGCAACACGGAGCGACGGAAAAGAAACCGGGAGGAGCCAAAGAACCAGCCAGGGGATTTATGGACCCTCCTGTTCTGACCAGAGAGAGGGGGGGTGTTTACAGCCAGGATTTGGGATTTACCTCTCCTCGGTGTTAATGCCTGGCCAGGCGTTAAACAGGAATTGCTCCGGTGGGATTGAGTGTGATTGTTATTCCCTATTCCAGGAGTATCCCAATCCCTGGGCCAAGGCACAGCCCTTCCTTCAGCACCAGCAGTCCAGGACACATGGAATGTGAGGGCATTCCCACCTCACTCCTCCCTTTTTCACCCCAAACATCCACATTATCCACCCTCGATCCAGACTGAGCTCCAAGGTCTGAGCCACGGGAGAAAATTCCCTTGGGATTGGAAGGGTGGGTTATGGGGAGATGGGATCAACCCACGGGAGGGAAGCCCACTGG